ACCCTTAAAGCACCAGAAAGAGCCTTAGATTAAATTGAAAATTTTTCACTGCAACTCAGTTGTCCTGAGTGTAGCACTGAAAGGTAGCTGTAGAAGCCTAAAAATGTTTGCAAAATTGCATGCATAAGGAGGAAAATAATATAAGAATGATATGCTGAAGATGTGAATAATCATTAGGAATGATAACTGCTTCTGTGGTGTCAAGCAGATACAAAAGTCTTTGCAGTTCATCAAAAATTAGCCTGTTATCTTAGGTACTTTGGCAGTATCTGTAAAGTGACCATCATAATACCCTCTAAAACTTCTCTGTGCGGTGGGTTGGTTTTTTTGCCCTCAGTCAAGGTCAGTTTAACAGGAAATCAGAGGAGAGGTTGTGTGGCATCCGCTTATTATTTGGATTTGGTTGTCGTTAGTAACAGTAGCAATAATATGTGAAAATGAGATATGGGTGAAAATGATGCTGGCTTCACTGGAGAAGACTTTATAACTTCATTTCAGGTCTGTGTTCTATCGCTCATACAAAGAGCAGGAGTCTAAGAAAGGGTATGACCAAGAGGAAGTTTTTGAGAAGCCTACACGTGAAACTTGCCAAGGTAAGATAAAGGAGTGGTTTTAAAGTAAGGTTTTGTGGGAAAGGTAGTGTTGAACTGATTCAGTCTTCATTTTGGGGTATATTTATACAGACATTTCTGTATTTTATAGAAATTACTGTATCAGTTGACGTATTTGCATTAGATATTTTAGCAGTTGTCTGAAGCTGCAAGCAGACTTGTTGAATTACTGCAAAACATCAAGAGTCGGTATGCTGAAAAATCTGGGACTCTACTTTTTTGGTTCCTTCTTCCCCCCAAGGTATGAGACACGCAATCTACGACAAACTTGATGATGATGGTTTGATAGCCCCTGGGGTACGTGTGTCTGGGGATGATGTCATCATTGGCAAAACAGTCACTCTGCCAGAAAATGAAGATGAGCTGGAAAGCACCAACAGGCGCTTCACCAAGAGAGACTGCAGCACCTTCCTGCGGACCAGTGAGACTGGGATTGTAGACCAGGTCATGGTAACCCTGAACCAGGAAGGGTACAAATTCTGCAAGATTAGGGTGAGCACTGATGTTTGGGCTTTCTGCTTTAATGATCTTTGGTCTGTATTTAAGTTACCAATTGCATGTTTTCCTGTGGGCTTACAGGTACGTTCTGTAAGAATTCCACAAATTGGAGATAAATTCGCTAGCAGACACGGTCAGAAAGGAACCTGTGGGATCCAGTACAGGCAAGAGGTTGTCTTTTTTTCTTCTTCTTCTGATTTTACCTGTGATGATCTTAGTATTGGAACTGTCTTAAGTGAATTGTCTGTGGAATATCTACTCAGGTGCAATATTGACTGAAATGTAGCTAAAATATTTTTAGAGGGAGACACAGCTGCTTTTTACATATTCCAATGCCTTTTAAATTCTTTAAAAGACGTAGTTTGGATCCAGGCACATACTCTTCCTAAATATGATGTTTTGGGAGGAGCTGACTGTGTGTTTCCCTGCTCTAGGATATGCCCTTCACATGTGAAGGCATCACACCTGATATCATTATCAACCCCCATGCCATCCCTTCCCGTATGACCATTGGTCACTTGATTGAGTGTCTTCAGGGCAAGGTAAGAACAGTCTTCTATACTGCATGTCTCAGCAATATGAATTAAGATTTGGTGGGGACTGTTGTATGCTTTGAGCTTTTTTTTTGCTTTTTTCTTGGTAAAGATAAACACTATGTAGTAGGTGTTGATTTATTTTAAAATTATTGTTCTCCAGTTATTTGATAGCAAAAGGAGGTTTCTTATGGAAAATGTACAGTCCTGTAAATTTTATCCAGAAGGTCAGGTCCTACCTACAGTGTGCTCTCTCATCTGTTGCTTTTGTTCCAGATATTTTCCCCTGACCTAGAATAAGGAGAGGCAAAATTGTTTATAGTGTGTATTTTTTAAAATATGTGGCAGATAAACAGTGAGAATAGGGTACTACCATTGGCATGGAATCTCAAATTCCAGTATTACGAGTTACAGCTGTTTGAAACAGCTAAATGTGGTCTAACCAGTCCTTCAGAAACCTGACAAACTTTTCCAAATCTCTTCTCTGTAGGTGTCTGCAAACAAGGGAGAAATTGGTGATGCTACACCTTTTAACGATGCTGTCAACGTGCAAAAGATTTCCAACCTTTTATCAGATTATGGCTATCATCTGAGAGGAAATGAGGTATAATCAAAGTATCAATCCACTGTAATTTTTTTAATACACCTTTGATGGGTAGTAAGGTTTACATTGACTTCTCCAGGTCCTCTACAATGGCTTCACTGGTCGAAAAATCACGTCCCAGATCTTCATTGGTCCTACCTATTACCAGCGCCTGAAGCACATGGTGGATGACAAAATCCATTCTCGTGCACGAGGGCCAATCCAGATCCTTAACAGACAGCCCATGGAAGGCAGATCTCGGTAAGGATCCCTGCTAGTTTCTTTGTGGTGTTTTGTTTTCCTGTCCAGCTTTTAGCCCTGAACAAGTAGTTGGTTCAGCTTTGCAGCTTAATTAGCTCACCCCAAATAGCCACCCATTTTTTTAATGTGTTTGGCTTAAGAGCTTGTATTGGGTGCAGGTGCCAAGGTTTTGGTAGCAGGAGGTACTGCTGGGGTGGCCTCTCTGAGAAAGGAGCAGGGATTGCCCCATGCTGGACCCAGCCACTTAGAGCTGGTAGCACCTCTGTGAGAATATATTTAAGAAAGGGTAAAAAATGCTGTGCAGAAGCTGTGAGAGAGGAGTGAGGAAATGCAACAGGAACTGCCCTGCAGCCTGTGGAAGGCTCACAGGATTCCTGTTCCTGGAGGATTCTACCCCATGGGAGGGTCCATGCTGGAACAGTTTGTGAAGGACTGTCCCATGGAAGGGGCCACATGGTGGAGAGGAAAAAATTGTGAGGCAAAGGGAGCAGCCAAGAGGAGCTGTGATGCACCGACTGCAATCCCTATTCTCCCAGTCATCACAGGGAAGGGAGAAAGGAGTTGGGAATAAAGGAGTGATGTAAGCCTGGGAAGAAGGTTGGGGAGGTGAACTTTTTAATTTTGTCTTTTGTTTCTCATCGTTCTACTCCATTTTTAATGGGTGATATACTCATTTTCCCCGTGCTGAATCTGTTTTGTCTGTGAAAGTAATTGATAAGCAATCTCCCTAGTTTTATCTCCACTCATGAGCTTTTCCATCTTACTTTCTCCCCATGTCCTTTTGACATGGTGGGGACCACAGAGCTGTTTGGTGGACATCTGGCAGACAGCCATCACACATAAGCAGAGTGTGACTTAATAGTGCACTTCATTTTGCTGTATAGTTGTGCTGTGGCTGTCAGACACCAGCTGTAGAAATGCTCATCAGCAGTTATTAAGGACTGTTTTCACAGTTTTATTCTGTGGTGTTAGAGGAAATTTGATGCAGAGCTTTCGTCCTGCATTGCAATACAGATACTTGTTCCATTAACAAGAACTGATTATTTTGCCAGTGAACTCAAAAGTTAAGGTTTTTTTTCTGTTCCTTTTAGTGATGGTGGCCTTCGCTTTGGAGAAATGGAAATTGATGCAGAGCTTTCGTCCTGCGTTGCAATACAGATACTTGTTCCACCAACAAGAACTGATTATTTTGCAAGTGAACTCAAAAGTTAAGGTGTTTTTTTCTGTTCCTTTTAGTGATGGTGGCCTTCGCTTTGGAGAAATGGAACGAGATTGCCAGATTGCTCATGGAGCAGCCCAGTTCTTGAGAGAAAGATTGTTTGAAGCTTCAGACCCATACCAGGTCCACGTGTGTAACCTCTGTGGAATCATGGCAATTGCAAACACGAGGACTCACACCTACGAATGCCGCGGGTGCCGCAACAAAACTCAGGTGTGTGTGGTTTCCATCAGCCATTGTTTCTCCTTGTGGGCAGGAGGAAATGCCACTTGAGTGAAGCAGGAGTATAGGGAAGTAAATATTTAAAGAAGCACCAGAACAATTGCTATTTTAGTTTCATAACTGTTTTAAGTGTTTATAGCGTTGTAGTCAATTTGGATGCTTCCTTATTAATTTTACAGTGTTGGCTTGTCACTTGGCAGGAAATGCTGTTCAAGTGTTGTACAGTGCAGAGTTTTCAGAGAATTTAAATGCTCGAGAACTTATTTTTAGAAGTAAAACTCAGAATCACAGGAATTTAGAGGCATCGCCCTTGTGACTGTCCCATGAAGATATTTATGCTTGCAGAGCTGAGTCCCCACGGGAGGTCTTTTGTGCTGCACTTTGGTGGGTTTTTTTTTAATTTAATAAAAGCTCTGCAGTGCATGCTTGGTTACAGAAGTATGTCAAGGGACAGTGGTAGCAGAGGTAAAAATAGTAGCCTTGAACAGGCTTGGTTTTGTGCCAAGGACTGACTGCTGCAACTCTGAACAATGGCACTGGGGTTCCAGAGTGATGTGTGCTGGAAGCCTTACCTGCATTTATGCACTTCAGGCACACTCTGTTATGCACATGTTCTGTTAAATGGTTCTTGTTTGGGATCAGATCCCTTTGCTGCATTTTTATGTTAAAAATACATTCTGGACAGCTGCTCTGTAGCCCCTACAGAGGCTCAGCTTCCTTCTTGCTTTGGTACTGTCTGTGAGCAATTCTCATTAAGTGCTTTCATGCATAACTTCAGATTTGCTTTTAAGCCAAAAACTCAACGAAGTTATTTGTGTAGAGGATGTGGAAGTTGATGCTTTATGAGTGTTTATCACAAGACTTTTGCAATCTCTTTCCAGATATCTTTGGTTCGAATGCCCTACGCCTGCAAGCTCCTCTTCCAGGAACTGATGTCTATGAGTATTGCACCTCGTATGATGAGTGTTTAGCCTTTAAAGGGCTTTTTTTTTTAATTATGAGACTCAAGTGAAGTGCTCAGGTTTTGTTTCATTTTGTACACGTTGCATTCAAAATTAGTTTTACTCATCTGCTGTGTGCTGTTCAAAAGTATGTTTATTTCCTGTAAATAGAATTAAAATTTGTAATCAAGCTTGTGAATCTATTTGTGTATCTGTGAAAGAAGTGTGCAAGCAAATCGGGACTCAAAGAAAAAGGGAGTTAAGAGGGACTGATTAGTCAGCTAGAAAAAGCCAGAGCTTGCAGCTTTCCAAAATACTAATTTAAAACTGTGCGTAAGTGAAAGTCCTCACATCACAGCTCTGCACCATCATCTGTGGAAAAACAAAAACATGTTACACTCTGTCCTGTTCCAAGGGGGAATATTGCAACTTTGGCAACAGCTTTGGGATCTCTTGGCTGAGGATGAGACCTGACCCCTCCTTCCTTCCTGCCTTCTTTCCTTCCCTCCCTGCTGCAGGGGGTGATAATAGGCACGTTTTTCTGTGCTGAGATCACCTGGACATGGCACACACGCCCTCACGGTGTAGCTATGATGTCTGGCAGTTTGTTCCATTAACTGCACCAATTTCCTTTAAAGTGGCAGACTACATTTACTTATCACTTCGCTCCAGATGCCTCAGAGCTTTCCTACAGCTGAAAAGAACCAGCTGTAGTATGTGCTGGGTGTGTGCAAGAAACAAACTGTTCTGGGGTACAAGCTTGCTGTTCATGGCACAACTCAGTAAAACTCAATTTTATTCACATCCATAAATAAGATGTTTGAAAAGGGATTAGAGACTACCTTAAAACCATTAGCAAAGTTCCTGTGCATGATAATTTGGATTCATTGTAAGCTCTCATTTCAGTGCCAGGTGCTGCTAATGCTCTTCTAAGGGAAGTATTTTAGCTCTTCACAGACATAAGGACACAAGAAGTCAAGACTATACAGTTTGGATAAAGCTAGCAGAGATTAAAACTAAGGATTACATCCAGCAGGGGATTTGGGCAGCTCAGTATTCTCTAGCCATGTGCTTTATTCCCCGTCCCTCTGCCTCTAGCAGGGTTACAGTTACTGTTCTGGCTCTCCAGATTTATTCCTAAGCATATCATGTGGCTGTGGTACTGAGCCATCCTCTGCAGCTGGGATGAGGGTGGCTGGTTTGCCACCAGCTTTGCACACAGCCTAGCAAACAGGACATGCTGTGGCAAATCTGAGGTTTCCCATCCCAGCACGCAGAGAACAGGGCAGGAACTGGAATTTCTGCTGTGCCAATACTGCTCCCAGGAGAGAGGAGCAGGTTTGAAAGCATCCAGACAACAATGAAAGGATGATACAAATGTAGGGCTGGAAACCCATTGGAAACTGCTCTATAAAAAACCCAGAAGGTGTTTCTTAATGTTTATTTGGTATTTCCAGTACTTCACAGCATAAGGGCGGGGGGGGGAGGTGGTATTTAACAATCCCTTGAGTACTTTAGCAGCTAAGATTTGCTGGAATGTTCTGTCAAATACAAAAACCTGCACATTAAACTGGTATTTCTAGTGGGGGGGGAGGGTTTGTTGGCATATTTTTGGAAAGCATTAAACAGAGGTGCTCCTTTTATATCAAATAACAATAAACTGTTAGGGGAGAGAGCTGCTGAGTGTTCAGCCACACTTACCAACCTTTGGTCAGGGCTATTTCATGCAGAGTTTCCACAACGTGGATTTTCGCAGAAGCTGTTGCCTCTCCTTTGGCATTTGATGCATGGCACTCGTATTCCCCAGCATCCTCTTTGCTCAGAGGAGATATCTAAGGGAAGAAACACACCCCACTCCCCCAGTGAGCATCACTGGCAGCAGAGGTGATTCTGTTTCTAGGTATCTTACAGAACTTCTTTGTGTCAGACCCTCTCCTCCCCTCTACTCCCCCTCTGATTTTGCAAGTGGTATGCACACTGCAAAATGCTGCATGCTAGACAGAGGAAGGGTGCATGCACCAGGTAAGACTGGAACCAGCAGCCACCCTTACCCTTCATCTCTAACTCACAAAGGTTGTTTTCCTCCAAATTCCCTGTGTTGCCATTGGTCTGCTATACTGTTCTTTGTCCATGAGCAGTTGGCACACTGCACTCTGCTGCCTGTGCAGCTCTGTGCTCACACAGAGTACTTACCAGCACCCAGCCAGTCACTTCGTGTTTCTCAGGGCCCCCCCGGGTCTGGATAGCCAAGTTCTCCCGGTCCCCAGGCAGAAGCTCCATCCTCTGGACACCATACTGTCCTCGAATTATCTAAACAGAGGGGCAGGAATGGGTAAGAACTTTGGGACTAATTTATGCTGGAACTGCATGCTGAGCCATACCTGCACACAGATCAACATTAGATATGCCTGGATGAGTTTTGTGCAGCAGCAGGGTATTTCTAGTGTCACAGTTTCACCTTGTCCCCTGTGTAGTGCAGCCACACCACCCCAGTGTCTCAGCCCTGAGGCTGGGCTCCCCTCACCTCAGCAGCAACAGAGTGGCCCAGTTTTCTGGGACAGGTGCTGCTGGGCCCTCAGCCCTGAGGCTGCGCTCCCCTCACCTCAGCAGAGCAGAGTGGCCCAGTTTTCTGGGACAGGTGCTGCTGGGCAGTGGGGTGTGCCAAGATGCCCTGTGCTGATCTGGCCTCACAGACCTTGTGTGTGTGTTCAGCCCTGCCTGTTTCTGCTGCAGCAAACCAGGCAGTCCCAGCATCAATGGGAAAGCAGCACTGCAGTCTTTCCCCAGTATCTGAGCCCTGAGCCCAGCACGGGGTAAGTGGTGCTCAGCCCTTGTTACCACCAGGTCAAGCAGGCTCTCAGCCATGAGGGAGAGGCATGAAAAGCAGAGCAGCACTGACAGTGTAAACTCAGCATCTATTCATAAACAAGCAGAACACGCTGCCTGAGTCAACAAGCCAACTGTATGCTCACCTGACAATCTGCTCTTGAGCTCCTACAAATAAAGCTTGCTGTCTTACAGCAAACTTCAGGCCAACCTAGGTTTTTTTTTCTCCATAGTATCCTTAAGTAGTAATGTTTCAGCTTACTTTTAAGACCCTTCACAAGTGTGTACAAACCTGTGGCAGGTTTGTGCACACTTGAGGAGCTGCAGGAACCATGCAGTGCCTCTCAGCCCTACGGCCAGGATCCTCTCCATTCAACATTGGCCCCGTCCTAAGCCAGATGTTACCAGTGCTGCCAAAATCAACATGCTACAGGCTACTGGAGCTCAGTGACTGCCCCATGTGGTTCCTGTTCCCAACGTGGGCGATGTCTAGCCACCTCAGAGTCACTGCGGCCAGCAGGGTGAAGGTGAAGGCAGGTCAAGGGACATTCCCTACATGCTCTGAATACCAGGCGCTACCAAGAGAAACACGAGTCCTGTCCTGGCTTGGGAGCAACAAGAGTTTATTTGCTAAATAATGTCTAAAAACTAAGCAAAACCAGATGTGAGGGGGTGGACAGAACTGCAGAGATGAGAGAACTCATCAAAGAGGCGTGTTTCTACAGAGATCTGCTATGGCCTTTGTGCTTACCAGGCATTTTCAGCCACCTCAGGTTTGCTGTGCTGTAAGAGCTCCTAGCAGGGCCCTTACCTTGTTCCAGATGAGGACAGGGGTTGGGATGCCAATGACTTCACAGCTCAGGTAGATTTGTGCTCCTGTCACATTCCAGATGTCCTTAGGAGGAGTCACAATGGAGGGTCCTGCAAAAAAGGGAGAAAAGCTTTTAAGTCCCAGGAGACTGCAAGCCTGCCTCCATGCTAAGCCTTTTAAGTGGGAGCCAGTCACGGTTTTGAGGATAATGTGAAGGTGATCTCTGCTAGAAGCAAAGTTCACTGGACTGATCCCCCCTCACAACACTTCTCTCTCCAAAGTGACACACACACCCAGCCTTGAGCTATCCAGACCGATGGGCCCCAGATGAAACATCAAGTGTTGAGCAGTTCAGGTGATGAGTCCTCTCCTCACAAGGCTGAGGTTAGAAGTGAAATACTGTGTGTATTCTCTTATCTCCGGGGCTGAGAAGAACTGTACCAACTGCTGGCTCTGCTTGCCATGCAGTCACCAAGTCAGCTGGCATGGAGGAAAGGACCCCTAGGAGACAGGGTGCATCCCACTCTGTCATGCCATGAAGGGCTTGCCCAATTTTGCAGCATCATTTCTCCCAGCATGATTTCAATGTGGGCTAGCAGAATTCCTTATTATGCTGTTCCTGTTCTACCTGTGTGCAATGCTCAGCCAAAGAAGGTTAGTTGGGTGGTGGCAGAACTCTCCATGGGTGAAATCCGGGAAGGGAGAAGGTGACTGCAAAGCTCTGTTTTATTCCAGAGAGCTCCAATTCCTGGTTAAATAGAGAGTTGCTTCAAAAGCAGATCAGAGCAGGGTTGTTTTGCAGATCTGGCTGGAGATGTTTATCCCTCAGGCTGGGAAATGCTGGAGACATAACCCCCATCCCAGGAAGGGAAGAAAGGCCGTTTCTGTTCAATCCCTCTTTAGCGAAGCTGTTTTGTAAAACACAGCTATTAATTCCCTGCAATAGGAAGTGCAGACCAAAGGAGCACAGAGTGTTTATTTCCAGTTATTGATAGCTCTAAGAATGCCACAAACAGCTTTCCCCCTTCTGCTCTGAAGATGCAGGCAGTAACAGGAAACTAAAGCTCCCATTAGGCTCCATCAGGAGAAGGCATTTCCTATGCAGACAGGTACTCCAGAGCCAGCCTGACAGAAGCTCCTGGGTATACTGGCTCACAGACCACACCCAGCTCATTCCCAGTCCTGTAAAAGAGGGGCAGATATAGATCCTAATGCTTCGTATAGGGTCCTGAATCTGCACTGATTTCAGCCCTGCATGTGCACTCTACCCTGCAGCCCTGTCACAGATAGTGGGGTGCAGGTTTCAAGTGCATCCCACTGCACCACCATCAGCACAAAGTTGGTGTCTTCTTCCTCCTCACGATCCATACGAGTATCACAGGCAAATGGTATCAGCCATGCTTCTATTTTAGCCCAAGAGATGCTGAGGTGGTTCCCTGCTCCTGAGCAGCTGCTGCAAACCCAGAAAAGTGTTTGCGCTTCTCTTTCGAGACTTCTCTCTCCAGGAATGACTGCACACAGTCTGCTGGAGGGAAGCTGCTTAGAGACTAGGGGTGGCTCCACTCAACATTCTCTGCTACAGAAGTATCCCAGTTCTGATTTTTAACAGGAGGCAGCTGTGGAGAAGCAGAAAAGTTTTATGTGTAGCCCTGGGCGATGGTTGAAACCACACCTAATAGTCAGCACGGGCTGGTTTCCTGGCAGACACCACAACCCAGGTGCTCCTCATCAGCACAGCGATGAGTCTCTCAGCTGAGAAGAGGATTTAAGCAGCATTTCAACACCCTGCTGAAGGTTTCCTCCCCTGAGTACCCTACAGTGGCCAGCCCATTGCCATCTGCAGGATGGGGCCACCTCAGGTCATGCACTCTGCTCCCCTTACCCAGTGCAGCACTTCCTGCACAGCCCAGCTGCTCTTTTTTCTGGTATCCCTTAAACAATAGGGACAATAAGGTGCTGGGAAGCTGTGATGGGATACAATGTCCCCAGGCAGCTCGGCTGGACCCATGCTCTGTGAGGGGTCTGCAGCTCATATGCACCCAGCAAAGCCTGCTGCTGTTGTTCTGTTGTCCGGCCCTCCACATGCAAATTTGCTTTCCAAAAGCAGAGCCTGGGCTGCCAGGGCTATGTCTGCTCCTGTAGGACACCATCCTATCGCTGGGGTTCTTCCATGAGGCAGGAAAAACACAAGTGCTTCCCAGTGATCACCGTCTCACACCACAGAAAAGGAGAGATCCTGGCTCTTACATTAAAAGCCAGGTGGATGTTAAGGCATTATTGTGCTCTTCCAGGATCTGGCTCATTTCTCCCCTGGCTGGGAACTGGCAGCTTTCAGCACACCACTAAATCCACTGCCTGAGGTGTCTCAGCCTTGGTTACTGTTGAGTTTCCCCCTGTGCCAAGGGTTTAGGCACCCACTTGCCCAGAGGTATTTATTCTCCCTGCCAGGATGCACACGTCATATCACGATTTTTCAGCAGCAATTGCTGTCAGGGGAAAAGAGATAAGGAATTTCTACCCACCTCCTGGGTGAGGATAAATTGTTTATCTTCTTGGACAGGGGAATTGCCTGCACAGCTTCACAGCAAAGCCCTGTCTGGCTTGGCACAGCAGTCACAGCACAGTGAGAGCTTGGCTGTTATGAGCTTGTCCTGAGCTCGGGATGTACATCCTGATCCAACCAGGCAGAACATGACGTTCTACATTTGGCTGTAAAATGAGCTGGAAGCATCCACAGGCCTCTGCCTGTATCTGACACAGCTCTGAGGCCAGGAGGGAATACACATCCTGAGAGATGCAGCAAGTGTCATGGGAAAAGTCACTGTGCTCTCTCTGGACATTTGACTTAAATCCATACAGCCAAAACTCTAGAGCTGAGCTCTTCCGCCACTAAAAATAAATGAGAAAGGCCAAGAAGTCATCATATTTAAAGTCAAACCACAACTGGCCACAGCAGTAGCTAAACTCTCTCCACAGTGAGCTGACATCCAGGTGCATGGCAGTCACCCTGCTTGCTGCCTGTGCTGGTCCCACTCATGCTCAGCCCTCAAAGTGGACAGAGATGGACAGATGACACGGCAACTTGTCACAGCAGGAGAGGCAGGGGATGGCAGAGCCTTGCACACACTTCAGAAGATGTGAGGACATTCCCTCCTCCAAGTGCCCCTCTTGCTCCAGGAGTTCTTGTGAAGGAAGCAAAGCTGGGACTGGAAACCAGCCCACCTTGTACGGAGCAGATGTCTTGATTCTTGCCAGCAAGGAGATCCCCCTCCCATCATCCTACAGCCTGCACCTCGGAGGCCTTGCTGCTCCACTGGCAGCACTGCCCACAGAGGGGATGGTTTCTCCATCAGCTTCCTTCAGGCTGAGGACCTGAGAGCTGCACCTGCCCAAAAAAATGGTCACCACCACCAAGGTGGCTGAGTGGTCCTCACTGTCCTGCCGGGGACACTGTGGATGTACAGATGCTCCCTGACTGCACATGAGCTCCTTAAATAAGATGACAGCCCAGGCTATTGATGGAGATTAGCTGCTCTCCACAGGCACTTCAAGCATTTCCTCTGTGCTCTGCCCATTGTTTGTAAAACAAACAGCTCTCCCTGGCCCAGGAAGGCGCTTCTTACAGAGCCCCAGAGCTCATTCACCCTGGGACAGAGCCTGAAAACACTTTTTCTGCAGCTTGCAGGGAACTGACAGCCTGTGTTATGTCAAAAATAGCAGCTGGAAAGGAGTTCCCATTGTTATATGCAGTTGCTTTTCTGCCACAGCAATGTGCACAGCAGAGCCTCTGGTGTCCTCGATGAGGATATTATTTGGCATCTCTTCCTGACACCCCTCCTGCACCAGGCACCCCTTCTGTGCCCAGCCTCAGCTGGCAGGGACCTGGCATCTCTCAGCCCAGCCACTTGTCCCTCACTGATTCCTGGATGGTCACTCAGCTGAGGGTTTGCACCTCCTCACCAATCTTCCTTTGCTGCTCACACACACAACCAAATAAAAACCTCACAGCAAGCAGAGCAGTAACTTTTCTGCTAAAACCAAGGGGCCTACAGGTATGTGACTAAAGGCAAAAATCAGCTGGGCATTAATCACCGTGGGCTATGTCCTGGTGCTGGGGAGTGCCTGGATGCCCAGACCATGAACACACGAAGCCATGTACCACAGGCTGAAGCTCACGTGGGTGTCAGCCTGGCTCCCAGGCAGCACTGCACTGCCCTGCCACAGCCCCAGGTCACACAAGGCCGGGAACACTCCCCAAGAGGACAAACCCAAGCAAAAGCTGAACACTGTTCACTCTCACAAGCTATTGTAAGTCTGAAAATAAACCAACTCCAGTCTCCTAAGTTGCTGGTAAAGTACTTTCCCTTGAAAATTACTTTATATGGAAAAAGGGAAACCTGCCACGAGCAATGGACATCCAGTCATGTTAGCTGGCATGGCCTCAGCTGCTCCCTCCCACGTCAGTGCCCTGTGAGAGGCGGCAGCAGTCGGGAAGCGCGGGCAGCTCCCGGCCTTCCCCACTCCCAAAGCTGCCTCCAGCTTTCTGGCAGATGCACAAGCCTCCTCTGCTACCTTCTTCTCAAGGCATTTCTGGTCCTCTGTAGCCTGTCTTTGAGGAGACTAAGGAGCCACAGCAGGCAGCGAGTGCTGGATGCTCTGTCTGTTTGGATGCTCCCCAGCAGGCCCTGGGAAGGCTGCAAACACAAACACAGCTTTGGCCCAAGCCCTGCAGACTTGAGCCTGAGTCAGCTCAGTGAGGAAGAGCCCTGGGCCACCATCACTGTGCCATGGAGAAACTCCTGCCTTCCACAGCACTGGGCTCAGCATGTGCACAGCACTGCCGCTGGAAATCCCAGCCCTGGTGTTTTACTGTGGTTTGGGAACGCTGCCTCCAGAGACCTTGTGCCTTGAAAGGGACTTCCAAGATCATCCACTGCCATGAGCTAAAGCCTGGAAAGAATGTGAAAACGGAGACAGAAAAAAGGCATGGCAGCATTTATGCATGGAAAGGCAAGCAGGGCTTTCAAAAATCCGACCTGATTAGACTTGTTACGTGGTAATCTCCTCTTTAGTTCTAACCTCAGTCAACCTCAGCCCAACAAAGGATTAA